CCCCGCCCCGCCCCGCCCCGCCCCGCCAGTTTTGACTTGGGAAGTGCGGAGGTGGGGCCTTGTCCTCGCCCAGGTAGGGTAGGTTGGAGGGATGGTTTTGGGGGAAAGGGACTCCCTCATTTCTCTTTTTTGGTTAAGTGCGAGGCAGTTAATAAACACCCAAATGGCAGTGTTAGGCTGCTGGATAGAGTTTTAGTCTTTTAACATGTAAATAACCCGAATCCTTTTCTCTCTGGTTACCTCAAGGATGCGACCTCCTGCTGGGAATATCTCAAGATCAAAAGTTTCAATATAAGGCTCAGGTAAGCGAGGTCTCTATAATAGGGATCGAGTGTTATCTTTTCCCCTTAGCTTTTTTTATTTTTGGTCTGGTGCTAAAACATTACTGTTTAGCATTTCTTGAGGGAATCTGAATGCGTATGATAAATTCAGGCCAGCTGTTTATTTAAATAATACCTCCCCCTTCGATTTTGGAGATTGGACCCAAGGTTTTCTCATTGAGCTATATCTCCAACCCTTTGTTGTGTTTTTCTTTTGAGGCAGGCTTTTGCCAGGTACCTAAATTGTCCTTAGGATCCTCCTGCATCAACCTCTAGGATACCCAGGTTATAAGTTGTGTGCCACCGTGCCCTACCATTTAAATAATTCTTGAGCTCTTTAAGTTGTTTCCTACTACAGAGGAAAATGAGGTGGTGGTGGGATTCTTCCACCTAATAATGTTTTTTTTTTTTTTTTTTTTTTTTTTGGTTTTGAGATTGATCTGGAGCCCACTAGCCCAGGCTGGTCTCTAACTCACAGCGATCCTCCTGCCTCAGCGTCCCGAGTGCTGGGATTACAGGCGTGCGCCACCACACTCAGTTCCTACTATCTTGAGAAAAAAGGAAAGCATCATAGAGTTTTTTTGTTGTTGTTATTTTTCTCCGGTACTGGGGATTGAACTTGGGACCTTGTGCTTGTGAGGCAGGCATGGTGCCACTGAGCAAAATCATAGCTGTTCATTGAAGCCAACTTGAGTTTAAAGTGAGTTGATGCACATACCCTAAGATTTCAGCTAATGAATTTAGGGAAAAGTGTTTTTTAAACTAAGTTTGGTTTATTCACATCTATACTTTTCTTTTTTTCCTTGCAGTACTGGAGATTGAACCTAGGGCCTTTGCACTCAGCTGCATTCCCAGACCTTTTTGCTTTATTATTTTTTCCCCTGAGACCTGTTTAAATTTTGAGACAGGTCTTGCTGAGTTTCTTCAGTTGTCCACATTGTGCTCAAGCTTGTGACCCTTCTGTCTCAACCTGTCAGCATCGGTTTGGCTTCTGTACCCTTTTCCTAAAAGACTGTATCTCATGGGGTAATTGGATTTGACTAGACAGAGGAGGTCATCTGAATTCATTCCATGCTAGTAGGCAAGACTGTGGGCGAATTCCAAGCCAGCAGTTCACAACTCAACAAGACCCATTGTATTAGTTATCTATTGCAGCAAACTATGTGTATTTAGTGGCTTAAAATAAAAATCTTAATTACCTTATATTTTTGGAGATCTGAAATCCAAAAATGGTTTAGCTGACTGGTTCTGGCTTAGGATCTCCCATGAGGTTACAATGAAGATTTTGGCTGGATTGGCAGTTTCTGAAGGCTTGATGGGTTGGATGATTTGCTTTTAGTTGATAACAGGCCCCAGGTACCCACTCTGTGGGCCTCACCATGGGGTGGCGCATGTCATAGCAATTGGCTTTCCTCTGAGTGATTTGAGAGAGCTTGCACCCAAGATGAAGCACTCTGTTTGGTTTTGGGTATCAATCTCAGGGGTGCTTTGCCACTGAGCTGTAATTCCCAGCCTGCCCCTTCGCCTTTATTTTTAAATTTTGAGATAGGGGACTTGAACTTGTGATCTTCCTGCCACAGTTTCCCTCATTGCTGGGATTACATTTTACAGTCCAAAAATAGTGCCTGAGAATTTTAATTTCTCCAGTTCTTTGTCAATAGTTAATTTTTTACCTATTTTTATTAGTACATATTTGTACATATTTATCACATTCATCATAGTGAATTTGTACCTGTACATGATATATCTTACATGATATATCTTGATTTTTTTCCCCTATTCCCCTCCACTCCAACCCTTTTTCCCCTCTTCATTTACAAAAACTTTGTTTCCATTTTTTTCCTTCCATGCCAGACAGGTGTGTGTGTGTGTGTGTGTGTGTGTGTGTAAGTAATGTGATACTAGAGATTGAACTTGGGGCCTTTGCACTGAGCTCTATCCATAGCCTTACTTATTTATTTTGTTTTTGTTTTTCTCTTTTTGAGTCAGGGTCTTCCTATGTAGTTCAGCCTGGCTTTTAACTCACTATGTAGTTCAGACTGGCCTCAAACATGTGGCAATACTTTTGCCTCAGTGTCTTGAGTGCTGAAATTATAGGTATGCAGCACTGTGTCTGACTCTTAATTTTGAGACAGGGGCTTGCTGTGTCACTACCAGTGCTGGGTATGAAGCTGTGATTCTCCTGCCTCAGCCTACCAGAGTGCTGGAATTACAGGTATACACCACCATGCCTGGCTATAATTTATTTTCATAAAATGAACTAATGTTGCATTTCTTACATAAATTCCACTTGGTCACACTGAGGAATGCTTACAATATATTGCTGGAGTTTGTTAGCATTTGGGGGGGTGGTTTGCGTATGTATGTATGTATGTATGTATGTATTTTGAGACAGTCTCACTGTGTAGTTCAGGCTTACCTTGAACACACTGTGTAGTCCAGGCTGGCTTAGAATTCTCTACTGTCTTCCTGCCTCAATCCTCCAAGTGCTGGGATTACAGACATGTGCCACCATGCCCTGCCTGCCTCTGTGTTTATAAGGTTTATAGTATATTTTTGAGATTTGTCTGATTTTTGTGTCAAAGTACAGTACTACCACATAGAATGAGTTGGAGAGTTCTGTCCTAATTTTTGGAAAAGTTTACAGAGGGTTGATTTTCATTCTTTTTTAACTATCTGATAGGGACAGAGGTATATCCCAGTGGTGGAATGCTTGCCTAGCATGCAGTGGGCCCTGAACTCCATACTTAGCACCTGAAAACAAAGTAAGCAAAATAACGAAACATTTGATAGAATCCACCAGGGCCATTTGATCTTGGACTTTTTATTTGGGAAAATTTTTAATTAGTAATTTGATCTCTTTGTTTTAGGGATATTTATATTTTCTGTTTTCTGTTTTGAGTCTTGAAGTTTTTCTTCTAGAATTTGTCTATTTCATCTAGGTTATCTAATTTGTTGGCACAGAACTATTCATAGTATTCTTTCATAAATTTAGTTTTTCCATGATAGTGTGGTATAGTATTTCCTTTTTATTTTTTAAAAAATAATTTATTGAGGTCAGTGTCACAGAACAAGCCATTTTGAAGTCAGCCATTCAGGGCTGTTAGTATATCCGTGATATTATACATGTGTTACTTCTAGCCTCCACACATTTACATATTCCAAGGTAAAATCCCTTACTTACTAAGCAGATTTTCTCCATTTTCCCTCCTTTGTCACCTGTTAGCCATCAGTCTTTATTTAGCCTCCATGGATTACTCTATTTTAGATATTTCCTATAAAATGAAATTATATAACTGTGGCTCCTTTAATTTTATGTTTTCAAGGTTCATCCATGTTGTAGCATGTACTTTATTCCTTTTATGGCTGAGTAATTTTCTGTTGTGTATATGTAACTATTCATTCACTGATGAGCATTTGTATTATGGATTATTCTGAAAAGGTGTGTGTGTGTGTGTGTGTGTGCACCCACCTATACTTGTTTGAGTACGTGTTTCATGTTTTTTTAAATACATCTGGAAATGGACCTGTAAGGCCATACAGTAATTCTATACCTTATGCATTTTAATTTTTTCTTCTTTCTCATCCTTTTCCCTCTCTCTTCTTTTGAGTTTTCCTGTGTATTTGTGTGTGTGTGGTTTTTTTAGGAGCTACCAAACAATTTTCCACAGGAATATTCCAGTCTTTGAAAGACCTTGTTTAATTTTCCGGATCTGAAAAACTTAATTTTGACAATTTTTGCTTTGGTTCTCTTTTTTGATGAAGCATCTGCTGCTTTGAGGTCCTTATTCCACCATTCCCGCTGGTCTTACCCTGATGCTGTGCATTTAAGAAGTTGACCGTGTCATTTGGTTTTGGGTTTTTTTGTTTTTCCTTTGTAGTCTTCTATAACAACTTCTGTTTAGGTCCTTATCACTTGCCTGATAATTCCAAACACTTTCTAAACACTCAACTTTAGTGAAAAAACTTGCCTTTGTTTTGTTTTTAGTTGAATTGCCACCCTGCTCATACCTCCTTTGTAGATATCCTTTGACCAAGATTCTGTTCTTAAGGAGAAAGGAAAGAAAAAGGAAGCTGATTCTTTGTGTTGCTTGGGAGAGGATCACATGAAGGTCTCTAAGTATACTGTTGTTAGAAAAGCTTCCCCCAAGCTATCGGATGCCCAGATGTGATCCTGGCTATGGACATTTATTCTTGTTCTGACCCCAGGGTTATAGAACTCTCACATCTCCTGTAGCAGGATACCTCAGTGGTGCCCAGATTTGAAGAAACTTGGATACTTTTAGGTTTGAACATTTCTTATCCCTTCAGTCCATCTTTGTTGAATTCATTTCTAACTCTTTCTGGATAATTTTCCTCTTATGAATGTTTGAGTGCTTGTCGTGTGCTAGGTACTTCTCTGTACACTTGAGAGAGGTCAGTGAACAAAATAGACAAATATGGGAAAAACAAAGCCAAAAACCAAACTGTAATAGCAGAAGCACAGTCCATTAGAGGAAGAAAGAGAGTAAGGATAGTAAGTATAATAAACGTGTAAATCTTGTGAAATAAAGGTGATACTGTGAAACTTGGAGAATGTGAGGCAGACTGAAGGAAGGGTGCCACATGGCTGGGATGGAATGAATGAAGGCTAGAATAGTGGGAGAAGAGGTGAGAGGGGTAACAGGAATGGGGAGCCTGATGAGGATGTATACATTCTTGACCCAGTGTATAGAAATGGTCATGCCTTGGTTTAATAGTTGCTGCCTTCGCAACCTCTTAGGTTAGTCTTGACTATTTTATACTGCCGTATACCTTGAGCTCATTTATGAAAATGTATTAAAATATTTATGAAAAATATTTACTTGTCTGTTTGTTATTTTTGCAGTGCTGGGGGTTAAACCTCGCTCCCTTAAGTGTATAACACGTGTTCTACTACTGGGCTATGTCCTCTCCTGAAAATATTTTTGTTTTGCTTAGTTCCCCTGGGTTGGAATGCAGATGTTTCCAGTGATTTCTGTGAAGCTACCATTTTCCCCAGAAGTCTGTGTTTGATGGGCGTTAAATTGAGGGAGCACATCCGTAGCCTTATTGGTGAGGAAGGACGAGAGTGTTAGGAGAGAGTGAATGAGGGAGGAGGGCAGGAATCTAAAGGGGTGCCTGGGACTGAGTGAGTGGTAGGCAAGAGAAGCCAGAGGAGCGCTGGTGGCCTGAGAGCTGTTCTCAGAAGTGACTCAAGAAAGACTGATGCCTGCAAAAAGCTAGTTTGTGGCCATCACAGAATGGCCATTGTTTAAATGCACAGGAATAACCTGGGAGGTGGACCATCATCCACTGACTTGTCAGTTGTCTTCGGATTGAAACCTTCCCATTGATTCCTCTTGTGGCCCTTAGTGACTTCCTTGGTAGGAGTATAAATTGATTTTGAGGACAAATCCCTTAGATCTAGTAAATTTTTGTGTGTCCTGTCTACCCCATTATATCAAGATTCTGGTTAATTTGACATTTAAGAGTTGATTCTATCCATTGATAGACATTTTGGAGAACAGGCTTTGGATAGAGCAGTAATGAAAAAATCCTTGGTTAAATGGTTTCTTTCTTTTCTTTTTCTTTTTTTTTTTTTGAGGCAGGGTCTCACTATGTAGTTCCATTTAGGCTGGCCTTGAACTCAGGGCATTCCTCCTGCCTCAGCCTCCAGAGTGCTGGGATTACAGGTATGCGCTACCATGCCCAGCTTGATTGATTTTGAGACAGGGTCTTGCTATATAGTTTGAGCTGGCTTTGAAGTCACTGTGTAGCTCAGGCTGGCCTCATACTCACTGTGGTCCACCTGGCTCTGCTTCCCAAGTGCTGAAAATGCAGATGTGCACCATCACAGCCAGCTTTTATTCTGCTCTTCATTGCTCATCCTGAATAATTGATTGGATTAAGAGTATGGACAGCAGCCAAAAATCCAGCCAAGATCAGCTGGATGAAAGTCTAGTAATGTAACTGGAATCCAGTTAAAAAAAAACAAAACAGGAATTCAGACTACTGTTGGAGGCTGGGGGTCTCCCACCAGTTTGTTACTCAGTGTGAATTCTCTCCTGCTGGTAGTCAGCTGATCTCTCTCCCTGTGCCTTTTCTCTGTGGTGGGTCAGAGGGGAAGCAAGGTCCGTGGTCTCTTTTTATAAGCACACTCACTAATCATGAGGGGGCCTCACCCTTGAGACCTCATTTGAACCTGATTACCTCCCCAAGGTCACACCTCCAAATGCCCTCATCTTAGAGGTTATGGCTTCAACATACAAATTTTGGGGGCAGGACACAGTTCAGTCCATACCATTATCTAATGTATATCCTCTAGAATTAGAAGAGTCATTTAACATTTGGGAATAGCGGAAGAATGTAGTTGGTATTTTAAGATTCACCTAGTGCTGATGTAATTTGGAGAACAAAAGAGAAAAATTTGGAGTTTGGTACAGATGTACAAGTATAAAAATGGACCTGATCCTAGAAGGTGGTGCTGATGTAGACGTAGGGGCCAGCAGGAGTAGAAATAAAAGATGGTTAGAATGAGCAATACTTTATAATTTATTTAGAATTACCTACAAAGGACTGTGACTTAATTTGATGATAAGTGAAAGAGATGTAAACAAGTTTTAAAAAAAAATAGAGAAAAATGAAGTGAAAAAGTGAATCCAGTGAGCCACTTTAATGCATTTTTAGGATCTGAGCAATAACACCTTCATCAGAAACAGATGCATTAAGTCACAGTTCTGTTGGAGAGATAATAGAACTAGAATTTCAGAATAATGCATTTTTAGGGTTATCTGTAAAACTTCCAATAGTATATAACTTTTTTGGACTTTAAAATCTATCCTCAGATATATCTGATGACCATATTCTTGTTATCTTTTGACTATGGTATCAGAATATTAACAATTTTGATTTAGAATTTCTTCTTTAGAGCGAAGGCATATATAGACTACCTAGACCGTCATTACTAAAAGATGGAAGTGGCTTAGGGAAGGTTTGATTTGGCTAGAGGTTTGTCTTAGTTACTTTTTACCCGGTGCCCAAAGTTGAGAGGAAAGTTTATTTAGCTCATAGTTTGTAGAGATTTCAGTCCATAATCGGGTGTCTCTAAGGACGGATGGCATCGCAGAGGAGAAAGAGTTTGTAGCAAGCAGAAGGTAGCACAGCAGTAAGGGACCTTAACAGCATCTTTTTGCCCCTTTTGTTTTATATCTAGGCTACAAGGATTGCGATGGTGCCAAACCAGTTATTGGACTCATTTAGTAGTCACACACCTTAATCCCAGCATCAAACACTCTAGATTTAGCCACCTCTGAAAAAGCCCAACTATGACTATGAGGCTATAGGAGGACCTGTAGACACAAGCCATAACAAAGGTTCTTCTGGTAAAGCCTGGAGCCATTTTCGGTTGTCACAATTGGGGGATTGCTGCTGGTGGTAAAGTGAATCCAGTATAAAGGAAAGATCTCAGGATACCCTGCTATGTACCTGAAAGTTACCCACATAAAAACTACCTGGTTTAAAATGTCCGAAGTGCTTAGGTTGAAAAACACTTGGATAGTGTGATATTTATCTTGGAGTTAGGGAATTGAATACAGACAGACTAAACCTGTGTTAGTTGAATCCAAAGACCAGTGTTTTCAGATTTGCCTAACTTTTTTCAAACATTACATATAGACCATTTACTTGATCTCCCAGGGCCTGTGCACTGAGCTACATTGCCAAGTCTTTTTCATTTTGTTCATTTAGCTAAGTTGCCCAGACTGCTTAAACTTGTAGTCTTCCTTCCGCAGCCTCCCAGAACGCTGGGATTATAGGTATGTACCACCATGGCCTGGCTGCTTTGATTTTTTTTTTTTTTTCCCTAGACAGTCTTGCTGTGTAGTTCAGGTTAGTCTAGAACTCATTGCATAGCCTAGGCCGGCCCCAAACTCACAGTGATCTTCCTCTCTCAGCCTTCTGAGTGCTGGGATTACAGGGGTATGCCATCATGCCTGGCTGATCTTAATCTTGAAGTTTTTAAGTCATACCTTTTATTACATACTAGACTGTAAGCGTCATGCATTCACCACTGTCTACTTAGTGCTTGACATTGTACCTGACCAGTGTTAAACAAAATACGTAGTGAGGAAAGTAGTAATTTTATTGTTTAATATTTTTAGTTGACTTCCAAAGTGATACAAGAATAAATAATATGTTTGTTCCAAAATGTAATGTGATATTCTAATTAAAATAAATGTAACATTCATTGCATGTTAGATCGACTTTCACCTCTATAGAGTGGATTATCTGGTTAGAAGGGTCCAGTTGGGCTACAGTGAATTTGACATGTTTTCAGAAATCAGTGAGTTATGGACTATGGTTTAAAGTGCTTACATTTTGTTCACTTGAGACCAGTGTTTTTCAGACCTCTTGTAATAACTCATTAATGAGTCTTGACTTTTGTGGATCACAGTCAACTTAAGAAAAATGAAGTAGAAAATATTAGAATTCATTGAATGTAGCAAAGGCGGTTGTTATTTATATATAACATCTGGCATAGTTTGATTTTTTTTTTCCTTCTGATACTGGGAATTGAACGCGGGGTCTTCATAATAGACTACATTCCCAGCCTTTTTAAAAATTTGAGATGGTCTCTAAATTGAGAAGGCTGGACTTAAACTTGTGATTCTCCTGCCTCAGCCTCCCAGAGTGCTGGAATTATGGGCATGTACCACTATGCCAAGCCTGGTCAAAAATATTTGTGAAAAAAGCTAGCAACCTTTAATCTTTTAATAGCTTGCAGAATTTCTGATAAGAGTAATAGAAACTATGGAAATAATGACATATAATCAGTTTTATAAATAAAAGCTCTTACTAGTGAAAGTTGCGATTTATTAGGTTATTCATCAAATTCTGCATTTGCTTAGTATCTGTGTTATGCAGGCACTGTCAACAGAAGATACAGTCCCTGCCCCTTGGAATTTATCTTGTATTGGTTGGATAAAAAAGAATCAAGATAAATGAGTTCAGTTTATCACGTGATAATTGGTTATATTACTTGAAGGTGAAAGAGAAGGGAATGAGATTGATAAGACAAATTAGAGGCTGGCTGAAATATTTGAGGACCACCTTGAGAAGGATGCTTGGAACAACAGAGTCCTGAAAGTGTTAAGCCGGCCATGTAGGTATCTGGGCATGTAGGTAGAAACAGTAGATACATGGGTCCTAAGCAAGGTAAAGGATTTGGTGTGCTTATGAAATAGCGAGGGGATCAGGCATGGTGGTACACGTTTGTAATCCCAGTATTTGTGAGGCTGAGGCGGAAGGATTACTGCAAGTTCAAGGCCAGCCTGAACTACAGAGTGAGACTATCTCTAAACAGCATAAATCAAAACAAAACTGAAATACACTGAAAAGTAAAAATCTTGCTAAAGAAGATACAGTTAGTCTGTGGCAGATTGAGGATTCCAGTTTAATCTGCAACTTCAGAACCCATGTTTTTAAACACTGTGCTGTGCTGCCTTTGTAAAAATACTTATCCTTTCATGTGATTTGACCTTGATTAATTGCTAGAAGATTTTTTTTTTTGAGTGCAAGAGATTATAATCAGTTTAGGGCAAAGCTGTGAAACTGATTCTGGATCACAGAGACTTTATTTCTTTTAGCATAAATTTTAAGTTACTATTTATTCTCTTTGAGTCCTAGTGTCTTTGTAAAATAAGAATATTTTTAACTACCTCAGAGTTTTGGAGAATTAAGATAATGTATTTTTGTATATTTATTGATGTGTAGTGTGTTTGTACTTAGGTGGCAGAGGATAAAAGGAAACACTGGACTTGCGGCCCCATCTTTCAAGAATAGAAAAATTAGAAAATGGAACAACCATGTTTGTTATGTGAAGAACAAGACCCAGAATCAGAACCACAGAAAAGTACAAAAGAAACCAAACAAATGGATGATGAAGACGCTGAGCTCATCTTTGTTGGGGTGGAGCATGTAAATGAGGATGCTGAGCTGATCTTTGTTGGGGTGACATCAAAAGCAAAGCCAGTTGTTTCAAACATTTTAAATAGAGTCACCCCAGGTTCGTGTTCAAGGAGAAAAAAGTGTGGTCACCTCAGAAAAAATGCTGCTCATAGATTGCAACCTACAAGTCAGGTGACCTCTCCATCAGAAACAGTGACTGTCTTGTCAGATTCTCCATCTGAATCAAGATCAACAGATAGTCCTATTGTTATTGAACCTTTGCCTGGACCTGCTTATGAAAGTAGTTCTTCACAAGTCGTGCCTAGTAGCTCTTCAGGGTTAGGCTCTCCTTTGGTTACATTAACAAGTTCATTGCATCATCCAGGAAAAACAGTATTTTCAGTAGGAGATACGAATGAAAGTCAGTGTGTATCAAAGCGATGTTCTACTTCTGAAGTAAATAGCACAAATTCTAAAAGTCCTAAACTCAGTGATGAAGTAAAAGGAGGAATTTCTTCGGCTTTGTCTGCTTCAGATATTTCTCGTACATTGAATCTTCAGCAAAGTACACCCTGGAATGATCTTCATACCTCATTAAGCCATGTTCAGAATACAGCGCCTTTTCCAGCAGCTTTTCCAAAGGACAGTATCCATTTCAGGCCTACAAATGTAAATCCTGATATGGAAAGTAGATTGGCAAAAATTTCAAGTCCAACAAGTCAAAACAAGACCTTTGATCCCAAGACAGGAAGTCTGATCCTGTTGCTTAGTGACTTTTACTACGGATATCATAAAGGAGATGGGCAGCCAGAACAGAAGACTCACTCAACCTTTAAATGTCTCAGCTGCTTGAAAGTTCTGAAAAATATTAAGTTTATGAATCACATGAAGCACCATTTCGAACTTGAGAAGCAGAGAGGTGACAGCTGGGAAAACCACACCACCTGCCAGCACTGCTATCGGCAGTTTCCCACTCCCTTCCAGCTGCAACGTCACATTGCAAGTGTACACACTACCCAGGAGCCCTTTGCTGTCTGTAAAATCTGTGAGTTGTCATTTGAAACCGATCAGGTTCTCTTACAACACATGAAGGACAATCATAAGCCTGGGGAAATGCCCTATGTGTGCCAGCTTTGCAATTATAGATCATCGGCCTTTGGTGACGTGGAAACACATTTTAGAGTATGCCATGAGAACACTAAGAATTTACTGTGTCCGTTTTGTCTCAAAATTTTCAAAACTGCAGCACCATATGTATGTCATTATAGGCGACACTGGGGAAAGAGTATTCACCAGTGTTCTAAATGTCGGCTTCAGTTTTTAACTTTTAAGGAGAAAATGGAACATAAGACCCGGTGTCATCAGATGTTTAAGAAGCCTGAGCAGCTGGAAGGATTGCCTCCAGGAACAAAAGTTGTCATTCAAGTGTCACTAGGACCTAATCAGCCAGGCTCAGTGAAACTAGCATCGATTACTATGGGCACAGTTGAGTCTGAACCATCTCCCCTCAAGTCTAAAAGCAGAATTTCAAAAAATCCCCATTAATTTTAGTTGCGATAAACCAAAACATTTTAATCCAAAGCAAAAACCCCTGTAAAAACAACACATCATACATTATTCAGTAGCACCAAAAATAGTGAAATAAATTAGATTTTTAGAAAAATTTAATTTTTGGTTTTTTGAGACAGGGTCTCACTGTGAACTAACTGTGTAGCCCAGTTTGCCCTCAAACTCACAGTAATCCTCCTGGCACACCTGACAAGGAGGATAATGAAATTTTGTGTTTTGTTTTGTTTTTCCTTCCCAGGACTTCACGTTTGAGAAGTGTTCTGCTTTTGAGCCACATTCTTGGCTACTGTAGTACTGTTTAATCTGACTTTTGTGGTATTTGTTACTTAAAATATATTACCTGGTTTTCATATTAACTGGTTGAACACATGAAAGATGTATGTTTGAGTGAGAGAAAACAAAAGTGAAAATTATTTATTATTTGATATTCGTATTACTCTTAACCTTGAAAATTTTTATATATAGAATTTGTAGTTTTTAAAGTATTTAATTTTTTTCTTTGTATTAGTTTTTTTTGTTTTTTGTTTTTTTTTTTGTTTTTTGTTTTTTTTTAAATTCAGAATGGCTTTGTTATGTGCCCTGGCCCTTGAACTCCCAGAAGTGCCTCTGTGATGCTGCCGTAAAGTAACCTGGTTCCCAAACGTTGTGTGTGGACTTGGAGAAGCTATGGCATGCGTGGAGACCAGGAGGGCAGAGGTTAACAAAGGAAGAGCAGTGGTTCCTTGTCCCAATTGATGATAAATACACGTTTACTCCAGTCTTGGGTCTAAGGTAGAAAACTGCCTCAGAGGGAACATCCAGGCAAGCAGAATGATTCTAACAAAATGCCCGGATTTGGTAAAGTACTCCTGCAGATTTGAACAAGCTTCTGTGTTTCCTTAGTTTCATATGAAGAAGCAGCAGCAATTCCGTTGCATGGTCTGAAGGGAAACGATTCATTCTCTCCCCTTTTCCTTCTGGGAAGCCATTAGCAGATAGTGAAGTATGAAGTGGCTGTTCACCTTTGCCTGTGCCAACAAAGCATGTTAGGTTTCCCAAAAGAGGGAAACTCTGGTATCCAGAGTTTAAACTGTACTGGACTCACAGTTTTAACTGAAGAGGGCCAAACAAATGGTATCTTCTAGTTAATGGACTAAATTTAATTCTCCTACTGTTAGGCTAGAGTGGGGGCTTGTCCAAGAACCGGGTACAGTGGACAGAAATAGCCCAGAATACTGGTCCATTGCAGGGCCTTTACTTCTGTGTTTTAGTACATGTGCATCTTACACTAGTTGAACATACAGTGTGTGGAGTTTTATATCTTGCCCTGGGCATGAGTGTAGTACACTTAATAGTTGAATAGTTTTTCTTTTGTGTATGTGTAACTTCTTAAGTGATCACACTGATACTGTTTGGGTTTTACTTGAAGCACTCTAGCGTGCAAGAAATATTTTATCATTAACTTTAAGATTTTATAAAGTTTTAGAGTTAATATCCTTCATGTAATATATCCTATTATTTATCCTGTCACTGTATCATAGAGGAACCTTTTTCCTTGCCTTTCCCAGGGGCTTTTCCACAGAACTGTGGCATACCCTCTGAATATTGGTTCCAAAACAGTGAACTTTGCCTGCTTCTGTGAAATCCTAGGATGTGTACTTGGATCTGTTCTAGTGCTGTTCTTTGTTGTTCTGCCTTCAACCTAGATGCCCACCAGTCAAGGAATTTAGGGTCCTGGCTGTAGATGTAGGGTTGGAGAAACTTCTTTTACTCCTTTCTTAAGTGTACCTTATTCTCAGTCCTCATTTGTTCATATGGTTAAATTTTCTAAGCTTTCACAAAAAGCTGATAAGAGATAATTATAGCCTGGTGTGGTTGTTCGTGCCTTTAATCCCAGCACTTGGGAGGCCGAGGCAGGAGGATTGCCACAATTTTGAGGCTAGCTTGCGCTTTATAGTAAATTCAAGGCTAGCCAGAACTACATAGTGAGACCCTGTCTCAAAAGGCCAAAAGAAAGGCGGGGGGGGGGCGCGCTATAATATAGAATCTCTTAGAATGGAGGAATGTGGCACTACAAACAACTGAAGGTGTAAGTAGATTCTTTTGTATGTACATATTTGCTTCATGAATGATTGGTTAATTGATTTGCACCTTGAACATTTTGCTAGGCGTGGCGGGGGGGGGGGCGCGCTATAATATAGAATCTCTTAGAATGGAGGAATGTGGCACTACAAACAACTGAAGGTGTAAGTAGATTCTTTTGTATGTACATATTTGCTTCATGAATGATTGGTTAATTGATTTGCACCTTGAACATTTTGCTAGGCGTTTTCAGTTTGATTATTTATGCCAAGGCACATTGCTAAAATTTTACACTGAATGCTTTCTCTAGATGTAGAAAGTGGTCGGTTTTAGTTTACTTGATTTGTATGTGTATGTGTGTTTGTGTGTTTGTCTTCGATTTTTCTGGTGAAAACTCCTGTGTAAAATAAATCTGCCCATTTCAGTGTACTTTGTTCTGATGGTAAAAATGAAATGTTTTAATTCCATGTTTTAGTGATTGTTTAGTTGCTTAGTATTATCAGCACTGTTACTGTTGTTTCACTAAAGCATGCTCCTAAGGAGTACAACTGTCAGTTATTGCCAACTACAAGTTCCAGTGATCTGGCCCCTGCTACCTCCTCTCTCTCCAGTTTTCTGCCGTGCTTCTGTACCATTTTCTTCAGCAGTAACTGTTTTGCTACACTGACCTTGTTATTCCTCAAGTGAATCACATTTTTCCGGATCCAAAGGCTGCACATGCTATTCTTTTCTTTAGAATGCCTTCCCCTAGGCCTGCATGGCTTGCTACCTCACTTAATTGCTTGACACTTTCTTTGGTTCATTGAGCTCACAAAGGTTCTTAGAATGACTAGAAATCTCCCCTGCTGTTTAAAAAAACCTTATTCCTTCTCCCTTAAAGGCACTTTACCTCCCCACACACCTTCCCTCTCCAACCTGGGTAAATTTCCTAGATTTTCACAAAAAAAGCTAGGAAGGAATCACCCTCAAGGGCTTTGCTTCTTTCTTAGAATTGAGCTAGCTTGAGTCAGTTTCTGTGCCTGCAGCTAAAAGAAAATATAGTGAAGTGAGTCAAGAGCTTTGTTTTTCTATTGATAGCTCTCTATTTTTTTAAGGCAGTGTCACTTTGTTCTGTTTACAAATGTATTGAATATCTGTCCAGATTACTATTTTGTTATATTTTGTGAATTTCCTTGTCTATTTTGCTTGCTTGTTTCAGATAAAATTTATTATTTTATTAATGTTGCCAAAAGCTAAGTAAAATAGCAATTATATTAATAAAATGTTTTATGAAAAAATATTTTTGCTGTATTGTCTTTCTGCCAATAACATGGTATGTTTTTAGTTTATTTGTTCCCTGCTGGCATTATTGCTTAATCTTACTTCATTGGCCTGGACTTCTAAACAGTGATATATATGATGGATATGGAGTTTTTGTTTTGGTACCGGGGATCGAATTCAAGACCCTAGACTAGTGAGGCAGGTGGTGGAACCACTGAGCTAAATACCTGGCACATGGAGTTTTTGTTCTTAATGAAAAATGTCTTACTATTAAAGTTAATATGGACTGAGGATTTAGCTTAGCGGTAGAGCACTTGCCTAGTATATGCTAAGGTACTGGGTTTAATCTTCAGCACCACAAAGCAAAGAAAAAAAGAATGTGTGTCTTAAAGACTTTCTATTTCAACTTTTAGGATCTTTAAAGAGGATTGCTTTATTTTATTGGATAGTTTACAAGTTTATTTTTTCAATAAGGAAGGAATTTAAGACATTACCTAATTCTGATTACAGTTTTTGCTTAATCCCAAACATTTTGATGCATATTTTAATTTAAATTTTTCATTCTTACTAATTTTTGGAAAATAATTTAAAAGATTGAAAATTTTGTAGTCTAAGTGGCTTCTTAAAATTTACCATGCTAGAGATCAGCACAGGGCCTCACACATAGCAAGGCAAGGATCCTACCACTCAATTACACTCCTGCCTCCTAAGCAATTTAATTTCTAGTTTTATCATGAATTGAGTTTTCCTTGGAGCTTTGAAGGATACGTTTAAGTGTGTGAGTATGTGTATACAGTGGCATATCTAAAAATACTCTTCAAATTACTGCATAGGTTATTAAAAAGATTTAAAATTTCTGTGGTAAAGATAAATTTTAATTACAGACCCCCTTTCAGTTAATGTAGTATAAAAGATAATTCCTAGTTACAAAACTATGAAACCAAACTGAATATCAAAGTTGTTATACTCAATGTTAACTGCATTATCAAAAGTAATGACAGTAGGATCTATGGCAATACAAAATCTTGATTATAATGTAGAGTGAGAAAGCATAGAAAGTTCTATATACTTTTTATTATGTTTGCTGCGGTTTACAATCTTGGGGAGTGGTTACATGTACACATTACAGCTGGTTTTTTTACACACACACCCCCAGCGCCGGATTTACAGGTGTCACCACCACACTCAGCTAGAAGTTGTCTAGAGTTACACATAGTAATAGCTATAAAAAAGGAACAGGCATTCAGGAGGCTGAGGCAGGAGGATTGCTGTGAGTTCAAGGCTAACCTGAATTACCTAGTGAGACTCCGTTTCAAAGGAAAGGGGATTAACCCCCCCACAAAAAAGAACTATCCTGGGCTGGAGATAGAGCTCTGGTAGATACTTAGAATGTGTGATGTCCTGGGTTCAATTCCCAGTACTGGATAGTGATTTTTTTTTGCCATCCAAATATTATTTTGCCTTTAAAATGTATTCATTATATGAATAGAAGGAAGTGGGTAAGTGGATTCTGTCTCAGGGAGTAACACTTGAGGTTACTCTTTCCTTCTTGGTTATAGATTGGAATGAACACAGCTGCTAGTGTATGATAAGGTTGCTCCCATGCACATGAGTTTTAAGGCAAATAACTGGCAACCTATGGTCTGGAGGTTTCATTTAAGAATTTAAACAAAAGCTTTGTTAGAGAAAGCAGAAGGTGAGTGTGCCAGAGACCAATATGTACTCCTCGAAGCCTGAAGTAAGTACTGAATGCTTCGCAGAGAAAAGTTGGCTGACCCTTGTTACAGATTATGAGTTGTTTAGACTCATACATTCTTATGTATTCTAATGGCTTTAGTAGAGCTTGGAATGTATATGTGATAAAGCTTCATGATTCCTTGATCCTAACCAGTGGTAAACAGTCCAAAGCAGTGGAAAGAGATAAATGGCCAGAAAATGACAGAACAGGAAACATCGTAGGGGGCGTGTAGGAATAGATGTGAACGTACACGACAAAGCCATGATAACCTTTTTTCTGTGCCCCCCCCACTTTTGAGACAGTCTGATCCTTCAGCTATAACTTCCCAT